TTCTGTCCATCCGAACGACATGGCCAAGCCAGCGGAGCCGCTGAATTTTAATTCGCTGCACTATGTCTATATATCGTTGTAAAGCTCATACAGCTCATTGTTAAATAGTCTGCGATATTCGCTATCACCAACGCGTAAAGGTCCGTAAATCTTTCGCAGAATCTTTCTCTCGAAAACTCCAAGAGCCGCCTCATCAGATGCTTTCATTGTCCATGCTTCCGCGCCATACACCAGCACAGGCATGATGAGTGACTTATAGAGTGTGATCTTTGTACGACGAGAGAGGACTTTACTTCTCAATTGCCTACTCAGCCCAAAGTAGCACTTGTTGGCAAGAGTGATTCTCCGTTGGATTTCAAGGCTGACATCTACAGTCGGCTACTTTTTCAAACTTGTAACTGTCAACAGTGACGTGGGTGCCAAGACGCGTATGCTCTGACTGTTTGTGTGCTGACAGGAGATACTTCGTTTTGTCCTCGTTCACCACCAGACCCATTCGCTTTGCTTCTCTATCCAATCCCGAGAAGGCTGAACAGACGCAGCCCTTGTTTTTACCGATAATATCCATGTCGTCGGCATACGCCAGCAATTGTACTCTCTTATAAAGTATTGGCCTGAGCGGTTCAGTTCTGCGGCTCTTATTATCTTCTCCAACATAAGATTAAAGAAATCACACGAAAGGGAGTCCCCTTGTCTGAAACCTCGTTTGGTATCAAACGGCTCGGAGAGGTCCTTCCCTATTCTGACGGAGCTGGTGGTATTGCTCAACGTCATTTTACACAGCCGTATTAGTTTCGCGGGGATACCAAATTCAGACATCGCGGCATAAAGGCAACTTCTCTTCGTGCTGTCGAAAGCGGCTTTGAAATCGACAAATAGATGGTGTGTGTCGATCCTATTCTCGCGGGTCTTTTCCAAGATTTGGCGTATTGTGAATACCTGATCTATGGTGGATTTTCCAGGCCTAAAGCCACACTGATAAGGTCCAATCAGCTCGTTGACGGTGGGCTTCAGTCTTTCGCACAATACGCTCGATAAGACCTTGTAACCTATGCTTAGAAGGCTAATTCCGCGGTAGTTGGCGCGTATGGCGGGGTCGCCTTTCTTGTGGATTGGGCAGAGCACACTTAAATTCCAGTCGTCGGGCATGCGTTCATCTGACCATATTCTGCATACGAGCTGATGCATGCACCTCATCAGCTCCTCGCCGCCGTACTTGAATAGCTCGGCTGGCAGGCCGTCAGCTCCAGCAGCTTTGTTGTTTTTCAGTCGCGTAATCGCTATTCGTACCTCGTCATAGTCAGGCGGTGGGATAGTTAATCCATCATCATCGACTGGGGACTCGGGTTCGTCTTCCTCACTACTTTCAGCGCTGCTACCATTCAGTAGGTTATAAAAGTGTTCCCTCCACAATGTAAGTATATTCTGGACATCGGTCACTAGGTCGCCATTGTTGTTCTTACAGGAGTTCGCCCCGGTCTTGAAACCTTCCGTAAGTCGCCTAACCCTCTGGTAGAATTTTCGGGCGTTCTTCCTGTCGGCCAGCATCTCAAGCTCTTCGCACTCACGTATTTCGGCCTCTCTCTTCTTATTGCGGCAAATACGTCTCGCTTCCTTCTTCAGTTCCCTATAACGGTCCCACATGGCTCGCGTTGCGCCCGATCGCAGCGTGGCCCTGTAGGCGGCATCTTTTTTTCTCTGCGGCTTCTTGACATTCCTCATCGTACCAGTTGTTCTTTCGGGCTCGCTGAAATCCAACTACTTCTTCGGCAGCGGTACTTAATGATCGGGAAATGTGGTTCCACTGCTCGCGTACGTCGGATTGTTGAAGAGTGCTCTCAGAGAGCAGGTGTGTGAGTCGAGTGGCGAATAAATTGGCCGTCTGTTGTGATTGCAGCTTTTCGACGTTAAGCTTTCCTTGCATTGTTGGGCGCACATTTTTTGCTGCACAGAGGCGGGTGCGTATCTTGGCTACAACAAGATAGTGGTCCGAGTCGATGTTTGGCCCTCGGAGTGTACGTACGTCCAAAACGCTTGAAGCATGCCTTCCGTCTATCACAACATGATCGATTTGGTTTCTCGTTTTTCGATATGGAGACAGCCATGTAGCTTGGTGGATGTTCTTATGCTGGAACCTAGTACTACATATTACCATATTCCGGGCCCGGGTCGATCAGCCTCAGTCCGTTATCGGACGTTTCGTCGTGGAGGCTGAATTTTCCGACAGTGGCGCCAAAGATCCCTTCCTTGCCCACCTTGGCATTAAAATCGCCAAGCACGATTTTGACATCGTGTCGGGGGCAGCGCTCATATGTACGTTCCAAGCGCTCATAGAAGAGATCCTTGGACGCCTCATCCTTCTCTTCCGTCGGGGCATGGGCGCAGATGAGCGAGATGTTGAAGAATCTAGCTTTGATGCGGATTGTGGCTAGACGTTCGTCCACCGGGGTGAACGCCAGTACTCGGCGACGGAGTCTCTCTCCTACCACGAATCCAACACCGAATTTGCGCTCATTTACGTGGCAACTGTAGTAGACGTCGCAAGGCTTCACGCTTACTTTACCTTGCCCCGTCCATCGCATTTCTTGGATGGCGAAGATGTCAGCCTGTGTCTTCCCGAGGACATCAACCAGCCGGGCAGAGGCACCTTCCCCATTAAGGGTCCGGATATTCCAGGTGCATACCCTTAAATCATAGTCCTTTATACGTTTGCCGTGGTCGTCATCAGAAAAAGGGGGTCTCATCCGAGGCTGTGTGCTTCTTTTCATTGGGCGGGGTTTTAACGTGGCGGGACCCAAACCCAGCGCACGCGAAGTTTTACGCCTTATCACTTTAGCTCGCTCCCAAACGGGTGTTTGGTTGCTACCCAGAGGATACGTGGATATAAATATCCGGACGTTGTGAGCTGCGATTTGAACCGTACGCACAAGAATCGCTTCTGGCCACTCCCAGGTGAATGGCAGTCAAAAGTTTTCCACTTCTGCGCACGGAACCATCCTCCATCCAACGCGAATAAAACTGTCAAATTATAAGCCAGTACTATGAAATTTCAACCTCAAAATGGTAGATCTATTGTCTAACGATGTGCATTGCAACTTTTTAGTACATTCAAACAGCGTACAGGAATGGCTGGAACGCGTACCGATTTTAAGTGAGCAATGCTTTAAGGATCACTCTCGCCAACAAGTGCTACTTTGGACTGAGTAGGAAATTGAGAAGCAAATTCCTCTCTCGTCTTACAAAAATCATTAACGATTTAACGATGAGCTGTATGAGCTTTACAACGTTATGGACATAGTCCAGCGAATTAAAATTCAGCGGCTCCGCTGGCTAGGTCATGTCGTTCGAATGGACAGAAACGCTACTGCTCAGAAAGTATTCAACGCGGGTCGTGAGGCTGGTAACAGAGGAAGGCGTTCGAAAGACATGGGGGAAAAGGATTTGGTTTCACTTGGCATTGCTAATTGGCGTCAGTTGACAAAGAAGAGACACGACTGGCATGCTGTTTTGGACTCAACCAATCATCATGAAATTTTGCTGCTGTCATTTAGTTTAACTTAAAATATAGATAGATTTAATATCGATTAGACAAGCGGTCGTGGCTCCTCCCATACAAACGAAATTTTGCATACTGCATATATCTGGAAGTAGTATTTGTGGTATCCACAGTACGGGACCTTGGTATGAAGATAGATATGTATATAAAAACAAAATTTGGTCTTATTTTATCTTATAGATCTTTTGAAGTGTCGAAAAATTGCAAAAGTGGCCAATTTGAAATTTTCTTTTATACAATTTTGAAATCCAATTCGTCTGATGGAAATTCTACCAAATTTATATTTTTAATGTTTTTTTTTTGTTTTTGAAATTTGTCACTTTTACCACTTCAACAGTTTTTTTTCTTCCAGGCTGGACATATTGGAGGGTCTCTGAATGCCAATAAACTGTGATTCCAAATCAAAAATTACTGTTTTTCACCACAAATCAAGTGACTGGACATTATGTAAGACGTGGAAACAAGTAGTTGCAGCACAAAGATAAAGCGAAGCCTGTTTTGACAACCAGACACATTTTTAGTCAGAAACGCATTTTTACCAGGAAAAAGCATTGGATTGGTATTATTTTGAAACGAGCATTTACAAGTCCTTCGTAACCAGCAACATTATCAGAGCAAAATTTAATATTAATTAATATTTTAACTCTCGTTTTCAGTCGGAATATTTGTTCAGGTGCTGTGGAAATGCATAAGTGATACTCCTAACCAGGGCTGGGCACTATATGATTACGATTGCATTCTGTTTACTTAGAATTACGATTACTGTAATTGAAATCCCGAACTGTAATTGTAAATATAACGTGCTTGATTGCGAATACTTTAATTATAGGGATGTGCCGGGTATCCGGTACATATCCGAAATCCGGCTTATTTGGCCGTTTTTCTGTTATCCGACTATCCGGCCGGATACTGGCTAAAATCCGGCCGGATTTCCGGATTTAGATTATAGAAGATTCACTTTAAAAATCTAGTTCAGAAGTTTTTTGTACTTGTTTAATCATGTTTTTCATGATTACGATTCCAGTAATCATAGTCCTTGAATTTTTAAGACTACAATTATTATAATCATAACGGTAACATTTATAATTATAATTAAAGTAATCGTAATCGCATACACATGAGGGAAATAATGCATAGTAAAAATGAATACTTTATATTTGATTATCGTTTAAAAATGTTCGTATTTAAAAATAATATTTTCATACAAAATTTATTACGCACGTATTTTGCTGTCCACATCTGAGTATGTATATATGGATATGTAAAGTGCACATACGCACCCCAAGCATGCAGAGCGCCACTCTGAGAGCGGTGACAACACACACACATAGATAGTACATACATGTTTATCCGTACAAATCGCGTGCTGTGGTGTTGATGGATATTCAACATTTGAAAGTGAATTTATATGCCTGGGTGTAGCTGAGTGCGCAAAGATGCTTGCCACAAGTTGTTGATGTCTGGTGATGGTCAGGTTCGAATTCCACTGCAGGCAACATGCAAATAAATTTTTTTTTTTTTTTAGTTTTTGTCTTGATTATTCACTTCACAGATGCTTTTTCACTACGAACGCGGTCATTTTAATATGCGCGTAATTGAATTGGATATTTACCAATATACAGTACTTTCGTTGACGTTTATAGTAAGATCAATTACGTTTCTATTTGATTTTACTATTTTTTTCCCTCAGTGTATAATTTAAGGATTACAATTAAGCAATCGTAATTAAAATGTAATCGTTATCAAAAATTAGGTATATCTCCCAAGTTTTTATAATCATGGAATGGCCTTTGTAAAGCCCAGATTTTAAACTGGGAAGAAAACTTATGTTTGAAAGTGCTACTGTCCAATTACGGAAATGCGCCCAATCGCATGCAAGACCTTGGGCATGGCGTTGAGGAAAACCTGTACGCAATCTAAACAGATTTCCTTCAAAAACTGTGTGAAAGTATCCCAAGGTGACAATTAAAGCTAAAATATTCAAATTGGTTATGGCCAATTTATTAAAAGTCAAGCAAATGGTAAAACTTTCTATCGGGTGCAAAACTGGAACATGCTAGTTGCTACGTTTTTTTGCAATTTTCTTCTTTATCTGCTTGTATTAATGATTATTTTTATGGCCTTCTGATGAAATAAACATTGGAAATGTGAAATCCGAAACTAGAACACAAAAAAATCTTAATATATTGCGAATATATCGCAAGAAAATTCACATTATGTATTACTGTTCAGGTTTTGATCCTCGGTGTATATGTTGAGTTTTATAGAAAAAAATTACACCTAATGTAGCAGGCGGAAACTTCATATACTCAGCGAAGTGGGTGAGGGAAATCTAATATTTAGTAAAGACTCTTAATATTTAAATAAATGGATGTTTACCATTTTCATTCCGCTGTCCTGGGTTTTCGTGTCCATTCTGATATTCCAAGGGGATAGGATAACTGCCGCCCGGTACCGATACTACTGATGAAGCCACGTTTGGGGAATTTTGAGTGGTAACAGGTGCGAGATTACGGGCCATCAGTACAGCGTTGGCGTAGGGCAACGATTGCATGCCGTAACTTTGCTGTGGAATGTCTTGCGGTCGTAGAATATGTGGTGGAAAATGTGTATTGCCTGGATAGCTAACTGCACCGTATAACATTTGTGCATTTGGCACGCCTTGATAATCTAAACCCGCCATTGTTCTTACCATTTCTGGCACACCACCTATATAACCTCCAGATACGGGGCCACCTGATAGTCCCATATGATCATCGCGCATAAGCGAATGATACAGATTGATTGCGTCCACCAAATCACTGGATAATTGCGTTAGTTGTGCATGCTTGCGATCAACACGCTCCAACTCTGCATCAATAAGTGGTCCCATTTGATGTACTTGCTGCTCTAAGCGCAGCATTTCTTCGCTATCTTGCGAAGGGTCTTCAGGGCTCGCTTCGTGCAGAAGATGCAATAGACGGTCAATCTTTACTTCATCGATTTCGATTCGTTGTTCGGCAACTGCCGCTGCGGCAGCCTCAGTCTTTAATTGCAATGCTTTGGTATCATCTTCAAATTGCACACCCTTTTTCGTTTTATTGTGTTGATTGATATCTAAACGTTCCGGGTCAACAGACAAGTCAGCGGTTACAAAGTTCGATGGAAACAAACCTTCCCCGCGTTGATTATAGCCTTTCCACCAATTCAGATCGGAGTCATCTAGTACATGTATAATCTCGCCAGAAAAAAACGTCAATTCATTCTCTTCAGCCGCTTCAAAATCATACAAAGCCCGAACTTTACGCGGTTCAGGTTGTGAATTGGCGGAGTTATTCGAAGTCCCTCCTGCAGTGATGCTAGCCATTGATCCAGATCCAGAAAATGATGGATATAATGATTGCTATGAAATAAAGTTTAAAAAATATTAATTTTTGTAAAGAAGTAAAAAAAGTTCATATTTAAAATGTGTCATGGAATTTTTCTTATAAGGCCCTATCGAGCATAATATGTGAAAGACAGTAGCCCTTCATGAACCAACTGATTTAATCTTATCAGTGTGATAAAGCAAATCGATTTTAAAGCGGCTTTTGATAGCGAGAAGATTTCTAACAAAGATGAGAAGCTGCCTATAAGACGTCATGTCCAAATTTGGGATCCCCGCAAAACTAATAGCTGTATAGATGGACGTGGAGCATAGGCATCTGCTCCGTTCATATTTGGAAGGACCTATTTTTGCGCCGTTTGAGACCAAGAGAGGCTTTAGACAAGGCGATTCACTCTCGTGCATCTTTTACAATCTCATGCTGAAAAGCGTAATAACATCTGGCAATCTGAATCGCAACGGCACCATATACAGCAAAAGCACTATGCTGCGCTCGAATGCAGATGATATTGACATATTCGGGACGCCAGCGGCCACTTTGGGCTCAGTAGAAAATTGAAAAGCAGAATCGCTTAGACGGTTACAACGCCAATCATGAAGAATAATACATCATAAAATTAGTTAATTTATTCAATAAAAAGACTTTAAAGAAATTCGCAGCTAAATGATTGATTTTCTATGGAAGTTGTTCATCACCAGGGCCGAAGAAAATAAGCAAGAAAAAATCCATTTTAAGCGCTTATATAAGCACCAAAACATTGGTAAATATGCTTGCAAATATGCTCGCAAAACAACAAAGTTTAGTCTACAGTTTAATGCTTTTTAGGGATGTACCGGGTATTCGGTAGATATCCGGAATCCGGCTTATCCGGCCGTTCTTCTGTTATCCGACTATCCGGCTAGATACTGCCTAAAATCCGGCCGGATTTCCGGATTTCGATTATAGAAGATTAACTTTAAAAATTTAGTTCAGAAGTTTTTTTGTATTTTTTTAATCAAATTTAATAGTATCTAATTAGTAATTAAGAGTTAAAAATTTATATATTTTTCATTATGAAAAGAAGCATTTCTGCATTATCGGGCAACATAAATAAGGATAGTATTAGGTTCTAAACACTCCCCAGTGGGAAAAGTGGTAATGCATTATATGCGTGATAAATAATATAATGTATTTCTCATGAGTTCCAGATTCTATTTCTGTTTAATATGTAATCAGAATTCTAATGTATCCAAAAACTCGCAAATATTTCATATTAAATCACTGGTAATGCAAAAATGAGTGCCCCACTTTTCCTAGGACATCGACGTGGAAAAAATAATGCATTTTCGAATACGAAAACGGCTGTTTTATCGATTATTTTTTCGATTACTATACATTACTTTTCCCACTGCGTCTGTTTGAGTTCACTGAGAAAGGTGATGTTTCATTGCCAGTGTAAACAAATTTGGAAATTCTTTGCGACTATGCTTACACCAAATAAAAGGATGACCTTGTCTACCCAAAGTTTTTCTATCCAGATCACTACAAAAACTGGAATCAACATCAGAGCCGTTGGCGCTTTCCTCAAAGCATTGCCAAATATCCTGGGTAGCTCGCTCTTCAATAGAAGCTTTCACTAGAGTTCAGCTTTTTTCATATGATCCAACTGGTTTCTCCATGCTAGCTGATTTATATATTCGAATTAGTTCACCATCCACCGTTTTTAGAATTATTGATGTTAGAAAAAACGAGTTTTGGAATGTGGGTCACAAAGTTTTGCAACAATGAAGCATTACGACCGATATCATATCATCATAGTTTTTCATAAAAATACAACCACGCGTTTTTGCTTAGCAGCGTTCATTATTGTTTATCGTTTGTCTTTGACGTTTCCCTCTATTTACCAAAAATAATCGATAAATCACGGTTGCAGAAGGAAAATTTATCTTTTTCATACTGGATTATTTTGTGACTCGAATTTCAGGGGAACAATTTTGTATTATTAATTACGTATTGGATAGTTAAGCTCGAAAAAGCAGATAATCTGGTCATAAGTATGTCGCTAAACAAAAAACCGGCAAAATCTCTATCCGGCACATCCCTTGTTTTTTTATTCAGTTTATTTCAATAATAATAATAATAATAATAATAATAATAATAATAATAATAATAATAATAATAATAATAGATTGGCGCTTACACATATGTTAGTGTTTGGCCGAGCTTCTCCTCCGATTTGTGGCGGAGGGACCTACAGTTTTACGCCGACTCCGAACGGCGACTGTATTTTTTTTTGAGAAGCTGTTTTTCATGGCAGAAATCCTCTCGGAGGTTTGCCATTGCCTGCCGACGGACGACCCCTGTTAAGAAAAAACCTTTTTTCTATATTTTTTTGCGATGTTGCGATGCTTTGACCAGGGCTTGAACCCAGGTGTTGTGGAGTGGAAGCGCGCACTGCTTACCACTACACCCCAGTGGCAAGGATTGAAAAATTACAATGGACAATTAAGTGTTGCTTGTGTAAGGAATGCTCCCACGGCAACACTTTAGTTTAATAGTTTGTAGTTGTAAGAAGTTTTATGTGGCAACGTTAGATTTGTGATTTGTGTAAACAACACTTTAGTTAACTGGTCCATATTGGTAAAAGTATTTATGTGGCAACGTAACATTGGTAGTTTGTAAGAAATTGTTATTAATGTGTTAACCCTGAAAATGTAATAAGAGAAAAAGAAGAATAAAAATGCCCTCTTCCGGTTGGGACATCAAGGCATGAGGTACGCAAGAAAAACGCTCTCTAATTAATCAGAAGATTCCAGGGTCATCTTGGGCTATTTCAGCCCTTCAGAAGTGGGTATTGCCCAAAAAGCTAATCGGAAGTTTGCTTAAATAATATATCTGTGTACACGAATTGTGATGTCGGAAATATCCGGGTTAGGAGAAATCCTTATGGAGGTGTTAGCACAAGCCGGAATTGCGTTTCCGAAAACCGCGACCATCGCGCAACTGCGTTCACTTTGTGATGAGGTCATGGGTGTCCAAGTGA